GTGTGATCTCGTGTATACATATTGCGTGTAGTAGGCTACTTAACCTTAACTTCTTTTTGGATTCTATCTAAGAGTTACTAACCTCCTATTATTTGGAAATAAAAAAAAAATCTTGAAGAGAACTCCTCACCCAAAATCACCCACGCCCCATCCCCCACACTCAATGCTTTGCACCTTGCATTATCCTCCCCCATTGCTACATTCTAGATCAGCCACTGCATTAAATGTTTTAAATATACACAAAAAAATACTTATAAAATGATTATAATTATTATAGAACGCCTCCTAATATCCCCTGGTCCCAATGTTTTGCACTGCCTGTGTCTTTCACAGTATATCAAAGTATGCAAAATTACAAGTGATTACCCTATAGGATTGGATTGGATTTACTCGGTGTAAACACCAAGGAGTCTATAAGAAGACTTATTTACAGTATAGTGTCCTTCTGGTGGTGATTGGGCAGTAAACCGGGAGACAATACCCTACTTTTTTAAAAAGAGTGTACTCATGCATTTAACGTGCACATGGGCCATAAATGCACACGGGATCATTGTGCACCTACCTCAGCTCAGTCCCATCATGGTTTGAATTCTAAAGGTAGGCAAACATTTTGCTCTAATTTAAGACCCTCCGTTGAATTTTCAAGAAAGCAATTAATGCAGATGAATCAGCACTAAACAAGGTGATTTTAGGCAAAATCATATAGATCTAATTAGTCTGTGACGTATCATAAAAAGTAGAACTTAAATAAAATAATTGTCTTTAAAATGCATAATTTGGTGTCATTTTTTTTTTCTTTGTGGTAGGCCTTTACATGTGAAAATTGTATTTATTTTAAATAAATCAAAAATGAACTTCTTTATAATTTGATTTGCTAATCATACTTTCTTTTATATAACTTGGCATTACAGTTAGACAATTAAGTAAAATATTTATATAAAGTACAATAATTACAATAACTATAGCGCATTTATTCGAAAAAGCACCCCGGAGCATTTATTGTTCTGATGGGTTTTTGAGGAGCCAGCGTTCACTGGTAAATGTAGTCTACTATGCATAAGTAATGGTGAAAAGTGTTTTTGCACGGCTCTTAAATCCCTAATTTGAAATTAATTTAATTCCACTAGGGTAAAAATAGGCTGAAAATAATTTTGTTTCCATTTCATCCGTCCATAGTTACTTCTGTAGAGACAATTTGAAGAAAAATCCAATGTCTAGGCGTTTATTCAATGACCCCTGTATTTAAAACATGATGGATTACAAGATGTGAGCCCATAAATTAATTATTATTAGTGTTTAATGCATTTTAAATTATGACGTTTACTCTTTCAATTGTGTTTTTGTATCATGTTTTTAAATTGTCTTTGCTATGTTTATTTTGTGAAAAAATAAATAAGGTCCTCATTCCATGCATGGGGCGAATGGCCAGAGTGTGAGTAAAAATGAATATTACATAGCCTGTCATTCATTATAGGCTTATTTGAATTCACGTCTGGATAACTAGAAATTACCTTGTTAACATCAAAATAATTATGTTAAAAGTAGTTAATTCATTATTGTAATTGTTTTATAAATTGTAAAGTGTTTATTAGCGAAGAATTTTGTGTGCCTCGCATAAGTTTTATAGTAGCTTTTATAGACAACGTATAATTTTAATTTTAGGTACAAATTTGTTTATTGTTTATTGTTTATTGTTTATAGGAAATACTGTAAACATTTCACTTGCTTATAGGTGATAGGTTTCGTAATTAAATGAGGGATCATCAGCGAAAAGAGGGGCAGATAAAGACAAAAAACGACTTGTTTTTTTTTTTTTTGTTTTTTTTTTTAAATAATTACCATCGTTCTAAACCATTATTTATAAATCATACAGTTTTTTTAGTTATTTGGTAATTTCAATACAGTATAGTAATCAATATCAATGCTTTTTTTCTTAATGCATGTGTATGTTTTTACAATGTAATGTAATCAAATCCAGTCATTTGCTGTCGACTGTAAATTGTATACGAAATAGAAATAAATAAATAAATAAATAGCCTAGGCCTTCGCCTAGTCCTGCAGCGAGAGCGGCGGTGAGCCTAAACTAACTAGGTAGTAGTTACATAAGCGTTGTTAAGACGACCGTTTTTATATCTTTTCATAATTATAGTTCTGAGGGTCGTATTTGTCTTTGTTCATGACTTTTTATTATTAATAGTATTATATTTATTTATTTTTTTATAGTTTTTTTTTAACAACATAAGAAGAAAAATAGTTTTATAAGAAAAGATATGCCTGGCTAGGGTAGACCCTAGCTAGCCTAGGTTGGCCTTAGAGAGAATGCTAGACTTAACCTCCTCCGAGGCCTAATAATAAGGTCTAGCCAAGGTTTAGTATTGTTCTGTTAGGATGGCCATACTTTATAAATTCGTATAGGCCTAGTTCTGATGTTCTTGATTCTTTTTATCAACTGACAGTGGCAGATCTAGTAGTATATATCCCCCACCTACCCCAGCAGTCCATCTTTCCATTGATGTTATAATCAATGATCCTCTTACTCATATGTTGTACCACTAACCTTGAATTTTCTAATTAAAAACTAATATTATACTGATTATTAGCAGCATATCCCGGATGATAATGATGTCTGTGAAAAGACGTTAAATATACTATATGAAGCAGAAATAAAAAAACACTTTTGCATAGTACTCATAGTAGTTGTTACAACGACGTTGCCTGGAATTAATATCAAGACAGGCGAATCGATTGCACATCTCCTGAAAAATGCGTTTTTCTGTATTATTTGCTGTCAGTGATCGTTCAGTGGACAAACTGAGTTTTTTTTTACTATTCCTATCAGTATAACTATGCCATATGTGAATTTTATCCATGTACTTTTCATATTTTGGCAAAAAAAAAAAAAAAAAAAAAGATAATCAGACTGATTTTCAGTGCATGTGATATTCTTGGGAAATCAGCCAGGCTGTAAACACCGAAAGTGGTATATTGGTGTTTTTTTTTTTTTTTTTGGTAATTCAGTCAGCATGCCTATTAGTAAACTATATACATTAAACTATTATAATTAAATGCTTCAGCAATTAACCTCCAACTTTATTACTCTTGTACGTGAATGGATTGACAAAAATACATCCACCTTCGTCATTATTGTTATTCTACATTATCCGCTAATGCTCTTATTCACTGAATGTTATTCTTCTGAAGACGACTGAAGCAACTCAATCGAAGCGTCAAGACTTTCTCAACTAGAACAGTTCTTTTCAGAACTACTTACGTGGTGTACCGCAAGCTTAAACATTATTCGTTAGAGTTAGTAAATTATTATTTTTATTGTCTTCCAATAATTGTACTCGACTACACATTGTTACTTAATCTAGGCTTCGTTCATGGGGTACTCTGAATAATATCTTTTTCATTCAAAAAGTGCTCCTTGAAATTTCCAAGTTACTATAAGCGCCTCCTATATTCCCACTGTTTTCTTAAGCTCCCCACTTGAATAAGCGCTTCTCAAATGGTGTAAAACAAATTTTTAAGTGCCCCGGGCGCTTGTTTGTGCAAGTATGGTACAGTAAAACAAATTAAAGTAGTTTTCTGGGAATACTAAAGTATTATTAACTTTAAATTTACTTTCTGATTATTCATAGCCACTATAGTGTATGGTGGTGGTTTGTCACCACCTTCTCAAATGGCCATATTTCCTAAAGAAAATGCTCTACACCAGCGTTAAATTCAGTCAGGGCCAGGCCTTGTGTGCAAGAAACTGCTGACTATATTATATAAAAAAAAGGATAATTAAAGTAATGTAAATTATTTGCTTTTACTGACTTTGTTAACTGTATATAAAGGATTTAACTTGATATATCAAATCAGACAACAGCAGGGACAAAATAGCACCTTCACTCAACCATCAATTTGATTTATCTTTATTTTCATAAAACATTACCAGGTTTGACTTCCAGTTGTATTTTACAGTATACAGATTAATCATTTAAAGCATGATCAAGAACAAGCATCAAACAACTGCTTTATTACCAATTTATTTGAATAAACACCCCATCCATAGCCTCATTTGTAATAAATACCTCCCTCGAATAAATGCCCCTAGTTTTTATATTTTTCCTCGAATAAGCACTGCCATCCCCTCCCCCACCAAATGACTGTAAACAAAATCATTATCAACACTTTCTATTAATAATAAGCTACTCCAGTAGAATTACATTTTTTAACGTGGTTTGTATCAATATGTCTATGATTATGCAGTAACATATTTTGATAGTAATTATGTGTTGCATTTTCACATTAAGGAACGTTTATTTGAGCATAGTGTATCCTTGTATAATGTATCCTTTGTATATTAAAGAAAAACCCACCCCTGAATAACCACTCCCTCAAAAACCTTTCTCAATAATTATTTATTCGAATAAATATGGTACATCAATATTAATCTTAAACAAAGTACCATATAGTACATGTTCTAAATACTAATGTCCAAGTACCTTAGTACTTGGGTTTCTGGGATGGGTACTTAGAGTATTAGTAAGAGTGCTAGTTAAATACAAAAAATACATTTTTAAATTATTACATTTCTACATAAATTTGATTTGACATCAAGATAACCCAATACAGCTGATTTCCACTGGTATTTGTTAGGCGAGACTTTCTTTATTCCTTGTTTCGTGTACTTATTGTTTTTAAGATCATCGGAGGAGGGCAGAATAAAAATAAAATTTTGTTTTGGAGGAGAAAATAAAAGTAAAATTTTATTGGTGAATGTAAAATAGGATGGTTAAATGATTCAAATTTATATAACTAGGATGAAATATCTTATATTTGGAGATTTCAAGCCAGCGGAGGGCGTAATAAAATTGAAGAAAAACTTTTATTATTTTTTTTTTAATTTCCACGTTTTCATTATAGCGGCGTTTGCGCTAATTGGCCAAAAATAAAATTTTATTTTTATTCGAAACCATCAGTATTTGTTAGACAAAGAATACTAATTTTAGTCTTCAAAAATAAAGTAGCATCTCTTCATTAAATACAAGTACCCAAAGCAATGATTTCAGTGGCGTAATGATGGGGCCTGGCGGTGAAAACAATTTGTGGGCCCCTTGCATTCTGTAAAGTAGACAATTCCAAAAATATTGTGCGACTATTTAACAATAGTATTTGCACACACTTCATAGCTTTAATATTTGTATGCAACATATAAATTAAGTATATGAATTTCATTAGCATGCAGTTCCAATGAAGATATGCTATATAAATAAACATTATCACCCCCAAATACTGGTATGAGAGAAGTCCTGAAAGAGGAGAACGACTTTCTAATAGGCCTTAAAAAAAAAGCGCCAATTTCCAATTTAAATTTTATCATTGTCTATGGTCTCAAGCATTTCTAAACAAAAAAAACTAAACACCACCCCCACTTGTTGCGTGACATATCCCATGGCACCCTCTACCCAGATTTTTAGCTACATTTGTCCTAGTCATATAAGGTACCAACATGTTAATAGTTTAAAAGAGACAGACAAAAATTTACTTTACCAATGCTAATTTTTAAGCCTACGACTTCTGAATCGCTTTTTCCTCTGGTTGTCTCGAATAGGCTTTCAAGAAAATACCAATATAAACATGGTTAGGTAGACAAAATAATTCATTTTAATAATAAAATATCACTTTGATACCACAACTTATATTGCTCAAAAACGTCTGAATAACATCAAGGACAATCTGAATAAAATGATAATCGTTCTTTATGGTCTACTCGATGGTCCTTTTCCATCCAAATATCCGATTTATTACTAGGGCTATACACCTTGTTTTAATCGATTTTAACATGTATTTATGTAATGTCTTTACATGTATTTCATAAGCCCTACTATGGGGGTTAATTATGTATTTAATTCTTTATTGCCATGTGGTGGAAGCAGATTCTATGGCGTGTGGGGATGCAGCCGGCTTGGGTGGGGGGGCCCATCACTTTCGAAAATGTACCAAATGTATCCGGGGCTGCCAGTGACTGACTACAAATTTGGGCTTTTGTGATGGGCACTTTTGGTGGAGTTCTAAATTAATAGATAATGGATGCTTAAAAAATGCAATTTCTTTTTTATACAACACAAATGTTATGAATTTAGTTGCTACAATTAATGCTGTAGTCAGAATAGTGGCATGGAAGTCAACTATCAGGGCATTGATAATTATACAACACTCATTAAAACTGGGGCAGTGACTAGGGTTTCACTTAATGATTGAGCATTTGTACAATAAACTAGAGCAGTTCCTCTTTTGAGCATATAAGAATCTACCTCAGTTTAAAAAGCTCTAAAATGTGCCTATCCATATTAATAACCAAATGCAAAATGCTACATAAAACTCCAGTAATTGCTGAGGGTTTGATTTTATTGATTTTTGCTCCCTTAAATTTGCCTGAGACGAATTTGCATAATAATCATAATGACCTTATAAATTCTTTTTTTTTTCTTCCTTTGTTTTTTGGCCTCATTGAATATACTGTTTTACAGCTTTTACTTTTTCGTTTTCAGCAATCCCCTCAAGAATTGGTGTACTTATCAGGAAGGCCTGTACAGTCTTCTTGCCTATAAAAAAAATGAAAAACATATTATGTTTTAATAGTAATACATTAGTTGAAAGCATCATCAAATATATTTAAAAACTTTCTGTTACTACTACGTTTCACGATTTTAGACACGCTCTGTGTACTGATCATAGCCGACAGGCTTGTTTGAAACGTGCAATGGCTTTAGTGATAATGGAGTTGTTTGCCTATATAATTGCGTATCATTTCTTTCGATCAGTTGGACATCTTTTCGTGTCTAGCACATGCTTAGTACACATACTACCATGGAGGAAATTTCATTTGAGTGATTCTCTGCACGTGATGATTGGGCATGTTTTGGCCTTATCAAAATCATTTGCATGGTGAGGTGGTTGGCAGCCTAGTGTCGG